AGTTTTGATCGAGATACTCTCTCACTGAGAGTGCATAGTGCGCTGGGAAGCCATCATGCTGAAACCGCATGTCCCTGTAAATACTCAGTGGCACGTCCAGCAATAAATTTTGTACATGCTTTTTCAAAAAATCCAAATAAACTTCAGCAGTCAAAGTCTCTGGGAACTCAAACGGACCGATTATTTTACCATTTAAAATTCCTGTCCAATAGTTTATCTTAAAGCGATATTGAGATTTATCTTCTCTCATCAAATGTGGGTTTGCTACGTGCCATTCGTGTAAGTTATGCAGGTTCATGTACCCATCTTTCTTAAATTTGGTCTCATCCGACCATAAAATTTTTCAAAGAACTGTGGATCGTTCCTGTGTCTTTCTAACATTGTGCGACGAAAACCAACTCGGGGCTCATAATCCCGGGGCAGGAGAGGTTAACACGCTGTATGTGGTATGGATGAAGCACATCACTTACTTGCTATTGCACACTTTGATACCGATCAGTACTCCTTCGTTTACTGCGCATGTTCGTGCTTGTTGATTTCGTACTGTTACTAATTTTGGATTCGTGAACTGGACTGTTGATCGCTTGTGATTTGGATTTGGACTGTTTAATTGCTCTTCAAAACAACATTTGCTTCCCCTAGACTATCTTTGATAGTGTGATTGTGCAGTGCCGCTATGTCCGAGTACACCGTACAAGAATATGCTAACATGCACCTCAGTTATGGGGAATGCAGATGCAACGCTAGTGCTGCAGCGAGACTTTACTGTGAGAGGTACCCGAATGCAGCTCGTCATCCAGATCATCGGGTGTTCACAAATGTGCACCGCTTACTGTTCTCAGAGGGCCAACTACCAAACCAATCACACAGTGAGGGAAGATCTTTCCTTCCTTACGAAGACGTGGTGCTAGGAGCTGTCGAAGAAGACCCGAGTACTTCAGTGCGTGCAATAGAACTAAAAACAGGTGTGCCCAAAAGTACAGCCCATAGAATCTTGCAAAAAAAAACGTGCTCCATCCATACCACGTACAGCGTTCAAGCTCTTCTGCCCTGGGATTATGAGCCCCGAGTAGCTTTTTGCCGCACAATGTTAGAAAGACACAGGGAAGATCCACGGTTCTTTGAAAAAATTTGAACCTGCATAACTTACACGAGTGGCACGTAGCAAACCCACATTTGATGAGAGAATATAAATCTCAATATCGCTTCAAGATAAACCATTGGACAGGAATTTTAAATGGTAAAATAATCGGTCCGTTTGAGTTCCCAGAGACTTTGACTGCTGAGGTTTATTTAGGCTTTTTTGCAAAATAATTTAGAAAATTTATTGGAGCACGTGCCACTGAGTATTTACAGGGACATGTGGTTTCAGCATGATGGCTGCCCAGCGCACTATGCACTCTCAGTGAGAGAGTATCTCGATCAAAACTTTCCAGGCAGATGGATAGGGCGGTCTGGTACAATACCGTGGCCAGCCCGGTCACCAGATTTGAATCCGTTAGATTTTTTTTACTGGGGAACTGTAAAAGAAAAGTGTTTTTCAAGCCGATTCAAAATGTAGCTGAGCTACGGCAAAGACTACTGGGAGTTTGTTAATAACCGTGGATTCGCTCGTTTAATAACCCGATCTTTTTTAAGAAGATGTCGAGCGTGTATTGCGGCTGAAGGAAAACAGTTTGAGCATTTGCTGTAAAGGTAAATCATCATCATCAGCATTTTGACGCCCACTGTTGTGCAAACAGTTATCCTTAAGGGTCCTTGTGCGTTTTCATAATCGCTGTTTAATTAGGAAATTTTGAAAAAATGTTATCAGTTTTTCTTCAAATAAAAATTTTGCATAAGTTAACGAGTAATCTTCTAAGTGTTATACCATTTTGGAATCCTTATTAAATGCGCCAACTTTTAAGGTTACTTGCCAAACCCTCGTAGTACATTTTTTCCAGTACAGCCACTTAAAGTTGAGCAAAGTTTTACTTTGGAATACTTGGTTGGGAAATAAGTGGCAATTTTTCCTGAACGAGAAAAGTTGGCAGTAAGGTTGAGACACCAGTTTGAAGATGCGTTATTCGTCATTACATTGTAAAAATAAAATCCAAAAAAAGTTAATATTTGTAGTAACAGGAGTTGACAGACTGCCGTAGGGTGTGAAATTTGTATATTTTTTTCAAAGACCTATAATTTTCAAAACACATACGTACAATTTTTTTAAATATTTGTCTGATAGCTGTTATGACTTTGCCTATCACCCGGCTTCGGCTTGACGTCGACTTCTGGGACACCCTGTATATTCAAATTATTTGTTTGTTTTATATTTATTTAGCATTAATGCTACACTGACCATTATGTCCATATTACACAGTGTATCACAAAATATATTATGTCTTCAAGAATACACATTTTTTTACAAAATTTCACTACAATGAATTCTGGTGTCCCATGAGATATTTTTTCAATTTCCCTTTGAACATTTTCAAACTGACACACTCCTTGATATTATTACTTAATTTATTAAATTCGTACAATCCCTTTTGAAATACTGACTTGCTCGTTATATTGCTACTGCAGTTTTGTAAATGAAAGTATATACTTCCTCTAGTAGAGTAATTGTGGCACTCATTGTTCAATACAATAAAATTTTCTAAGTGATTTGGTAGAAGATGTTTTGTTAACTTCAATACGAAAATAAAAACCAAGTAGGCTATGAAATTTTTCATGTTTAACCATTGTAGTTCCTTCAGCATAAAATGTATCCTAGTATATTTATTTTCATTTAAGATGATTCTCATAGCTTTATTTTGTGATATTTTTAATTTTGGAAATGCAGTTTCATTTGCAGTGAACAAAATAGTCGAACAATACATCTTCCTCGTACTCTTTTCAGGATGTTTTTCGACTTCGTGCAGTACTGCTTCCTCAACTTCAGCTTCAGCAAGACAACAACGAATATTAGACAAGGTTTGACTATCTGGAAAAGCACGATCGGTGATAAATCCGTCTGGCTTGCTCACCATTACCGTCGGCAAGGCCATATACGTAATGCATTTCCGCCATTTCTGCATTTGAATAATTTACCATTATTAACAAGGTTGTAAAAACTAGATAATGAAAAAGGTGTCACTGCGAACAGATTTGAATAACAGCGACTTGTCAGATGTCAAAAGCCAGTCACATATTCCAGAGCAACTAGATATTTATTGCTAAATTGCATTCTTCAATTACTACAAGCAACTTAAGAGAGATCATTTGTTTTAAACTGAACGGGGAATTCAAAAGTAATTTTTAATTGGCAAAAACCATTGGCGTACCATTTTTTTCTTAAAAATATCGAAGTCAATACCGTACGCACGCCACTGTTAATGTTAAAAATTATTTTTGCATTGAAAAATATGCAACTGTATTAACTTTCGCTACGTACTAAATATCAGTGAAATATCTGAAGTTGTTCTGAAAATATTATTTAATTTCCAGTTTTTTTCGTAAAACTCCAACACTCCCAGTTTTTGTACGGAAACATTTTTGGACCGTAGCTTATAAAGCAAACTAACATTAATTTTTCATGTAGATTCACACCCTTAAATAATCGCATATGATTAAGGAACACCCTGTATAGGCATCAAATGAAAGGGTTTGGTGAGAAAAACTCAATAAGCAAAATCAGCATAATACTAAATCCAGTATGGCGCCCCCTGAAAAATGTCACTTTACATATTTCACAGTCGGGCACTGGTATCGAATAAAAGGTCTTAATGGGAGAAAAACGATGAGCAATTAACGTTATTTAAAATTTCTTATGGCGTTTTCCGCAAAATATCGATTTGTATCTACCAAAACAAAGTAAGTTTTAAGGAGTCCTATTGATGAAAATATTAAGGTCAAATAGGAAGTATCAAACAAGTCATTCATCATCATCAACACTAAAAAGTAAAAAACAAATGGAATATGAAATACATTTTTGAAAACCAGCGCGTATACAGGATGATTCACAAGTCGTGACAAAAAATGCAATATCATACACAGGACCGTTTTTTCAGGGGGTTCTAAAATGTTTTTGTCGATGCCTTCATTAAAACGAAACGGAGTGTTGAAGTTTAAAAATGAAAAACAATTTTTTTAATATCTTCAAAACCGTCAACTCAACTAAACTAAAATTTAGTATGTGGATTAACCTAAGTATTGACCAACTTTCAAAAGTCTGTACGTAAAATTGAGATACATCAGTGGTGGAGATACAGGGGATTAGTCGCATTATTTTTTCAAGTAGAAATAGTACACCACTGTTTTTCTTTTTCAAAACGCGCAATTTTTCGAATTGTAACTTCAATTTGCTTCAAATAATTACTCATGTGTTTTATTCCTAGAGTGCATTGTTTTCGTAAAAATCAAAAAACAAATTAAATAATCAAAGCTTAATTTCAATAAATGCTCAAAAAACCACCGTTCTGACGGATACAAGTGTGGCATCTTTTCGTAAAAGATAAACGGACTTCCAAAAATTTGTTGTGGCTTGAATTTGATGAAACGCATTATCTATTCTTTCTTGTAACTGATCAACAGTATTAATTTGTTCAGCATACACTAGTTGCTTAAAAGCAAACATCCAGGGGGTTCAAATCAGGAGACCTTGCAAGCCAATGTACGTGTCCGTTTCTGCCAATCTATCATTGTCTAAAGTGATTATTTAGCCATGCAGACAACTAACGGCAACGTAGCTACTAACGTCGTGAAAATTCAGTCCCATTGTTTTGGGTTGTAAATATCGTAAAAATCTTGTTTTATTTGATTATTTCGCAACGTTCAGTTCTGTTGATATCTAATTTTGAATGTGAGTTGCTGTCTGTGACGCTTTTGCACCGAAAATCGGCATTTTGGTTCCCAAAACAATAGTACAACTCAGTGAAGACAGAGCCTTCTGTGTGTGCGGTGTTGCGACGTTGAAGTAATATTCTGAGGTAACAGAATTTTAAGTCGTGTTTCATGTGGGCAAATACGTTGACCCAAAGATGGGAGGAACTGAGGATGATGGCGGAGACTCTTTGTGTAAAATATGCAAACACGAAGTAAAAGACAATGAACATGGTCTTTTATGTGAAGGAAAATGCCAATCTTGGTATCACATAACTTGTCTGGGTATTAGTAGTCAGCTATATAAAAAAATGTATGGAGAAATTCTGAAGATCCTTATTTGGATGTGCCCTTCTTGTAAGAAACAGCTTAAGCAATTAATGGAACTGGAGACCTGTGCTGATAAGATGAAGACTCTTTGTGACAAATTTGCAAATATTGAAGGAAAAGTTAATAGCATATCAGAAAGTGTGGAGAAGTCCTTTTCAAAGCCTACATATTCACAAGTTGCAATCTGTAACAAGCAGTTTTCAGTGGCAAAACCTGTAAGTCTGCCTAACTTGATAATTAAGCCAAAAAACAAGCAAGATTTGCAAAAATCCAAGCAAGATATTGAAAAAATCAAACCAGTGGACATTGGAGTTAGAATTAATACTAAAAGGAGCTATCAAATGGAAAAATCCTTCTAAAATTTCCATCGGAATCTGACATGGAGAAGATGAGAGATACTGCTACAAAAGTTTTAGGAAAAAATTACGAAATTATACAAACTACATTAAGGAATCCTCAGATTGTACAGGATTGTAGTGAAAACACTGTGGAATCCATGATAAAGAAGCAAAATCCCTTTATAGGTGAAGAACACTTTAAAGTCACATATATAAAATCTTTTAAAACAAAAAAATATAAGACTATACATGCAGAATGTTCCCCAAAGTTGTTTCACTTACTTATGGAAAGAAATAAAATTTATATGGGATGGGAGAGATTTCCAGTATATGAAAATATTAGTATACTTAAGTGCTTTAAGTGTCAGCAGTTTAATCACAAATTTAATGACTGTCCCAACAAACCAGTCTGTTGCAATTGTGCTGGAGGACATGATACGAAAGAGTGTGTAAGCCGGAATCAAAAACCAAAGGGCAAAAATTGTGAAAGTGCAAATGAAAAATAGTCAACAGGCTATGACATCTACCACAAGGCAAATGATGAGGAATGCTCTACATACAAATATCGTCTGGACAGTGCAAGATCGAGACTCAACTATGGCTGATCCTACAATTGAGCTTCTTGAGGACTTACCAGAGTCTGTAAATACTAGCTTAAGAGTGAGCCCGGGTGTTTTGATAAATAAGATAAATATAGTGGGTAAACTGATTAATGTTTTACATATAAACATTAGAGGTTTAATCACAAACTTTAATAATTTGTTGGTATTCTTGGAAACTTACAATATTAATGATTACTGTGATATTGTGATTTTGACTGAATGTCATAAGTTAGAATCTTTTCGAAAGTTTGACATACCAGGTTATGTATCATATTACAACAGTGGTAACTATAATGCTTTCGATGGGGTTATTATCTACTCAAAACTAAATTTGAATCCAATTTTTGTCAACTATAAACTACGGAATTCAGAAGTTACCATAACTAAAATTGCATTGTCTGTAAAAAATGTTACCTATACTATATTTGCTTTATATATGTAGATCTCCATCTTCGAGTTTACATGAATTTTTGAATGACTTAAATATATTTTTTTGAAACTAATGTTAGTAGTAATAGTAACATTGATATTTTTTGGGTGATATTAATATTAATCTTCTAAGTAAGGATAATGTTGATGTAAACAGGTATCTTTCCATAATGTTCTCGCATGGGTTTGTTCCATTGTGTCAGGGGGTTACGAGGGAGGTGAGTGAAACCTGTCTCGACCATCTTTTCGTGCGCGACAAAATCAAAGCAGCCTCCAGAAAAATAGATAGCTATATTATAGAACATGGTATAACGGACCATCTACCCCTTATGCTTCATGTTTCAGATGACTTCGCTGTAAACTCTACAGAATCTAACTGCCGAAATGTCTTTAAATGTATTGATATGAATAAATTGAAGCACTTAGCATCTGAGGTAGACTGGAACTACAGTTTGGTTTTTGATCAAGCAGAAGAAGCAACCAATTAAGACACCCTGAATAATTATAAAAAGCTTAAACCGTGGATTATAAATGCAATAATTAAATCTATGAAAAACCGAGATAAGCTGAAAAGAGCCCTTAAGCTAAACCCGTCTCCAGCAGAAATATCGGAATACAAAGAATATAGAAGCCGTCTTGATAAAATAATAAGATTTACAAAAAATGAGTACTATAAAAGTAAATTTAATCAAAGCTCACATGATATCAAAAAAGTTTATTAATTAGTTAAAGAGGTAACGAATGAAAGCCAAACAGAATGACCTATAACTTACCTAAAGGATGAAAAAAATGAGATGATTATTGACAAAAAGCAAACTGCATTTTGCAAATAACTTTTTTATAAATATTGGCAGAGAAATGTCAGAAAAAATTGGAAACCCTCCCACACCCTTCCAATTTATAAATAGCTCTTCCTATTCAATATATTTAAAACCAACCAACAGGAATGAAATTATTGAACACATAATGAGTCTAAAAAGTAGTTGCTCTCCAGGATTAGATAAATTAACGACTAAAATAATCAAACAACTACATGTATATCTCTTGGATCTCTTAGTTCATATAATCAATCTGATTTTCAAAACGGGCAAAATACCTAAACAATTTAAAATATCGGTTGTATCACCTATTCACAAAGCAGGAGATAAAGAATATATAAATAATTATAGACCAATAAGTATAATCTCAAATTTAGCAAAGATATTTGAAAAATGCCTTAAGGTTAGATTGGTTGCATTCTTGGACTCAAATAAGCTGTTATTTGAGAATCAGTTTGGTTTTAGACAAGGTTTAAGCACATCACATGCGGTTTATGAATTAGCGTCTAAAATAATGTATCATTTAAATAACGGTGATAGGTGCATCGCTTTGTTTTTGGATTTAGCAAAGGCATTTGACACGGTATCTCATCCTATGCTCCTCCAAGCACTGGAAGGACATGGAGTTAGGGGTGCTGTGTTAAGTGTATTTAGAGATTATTTAATGCATAGGATTCAGTGTGTCAGGATTACGGACGTTCTAAGTGAACCTGAGACGGTTCAGCATGGAGTTCCACAGGGTACAGTACTTGGGCCAATTCTTTTTAATATATACGTAAATTACCTCTGCAGTCTTGCAGTTGATGGCGATGTAATTGCCTATGCTGATGACACCGTGGTAGTGTTTCATGGAGAGACATGCGAATCAACGGGTGAAAAATTGATGACTGATTTTGCAAAAATTAAAAGCCTTCTGGACACATTTAAATTAACTCTGAATATAAAAAAACTCATTACATTGCCTTCTCTATAACCATGGCTAATAGACCAGCATTTAATCAAATTGAACTTGATAATATTGATGAGCCTTTGAAAGAAGTAAATGAAATTAAATTAATATTTGGGGGTTGTCTTCGTAATATACTGAACCTTAAACTACTATTAATGATTTACAAAGCACTTCTGGTGCCACTATTGGTATATGGCATAATTGTGTGGGGTGGGACGTACAATCTTGGGCAGTTAAAAGTGGTGCAGAACCATATTGTAAGGATTATTCTAGAAAAACCTAGACTATATCCCACTATGCAACTTTATTCTCAAGAAATAAACAATATTAAAATCTTATATATCCTTGCAGTGTGTAGTTTTGTACATGCAAGTAGGAAATTAAATACAAATTATGTGTCCCACAATTATATGACCCGAGCAAACACCAGTCATAACCTGAACATCCCGCAGTCCAGGCGAGATTTAAATTTGCGTTTTGTGACATATCTTGCAGCTAAATTTTACAATTTGATTCCTGCTAATATCAGGAATATTGGAAATAATCAAAAATTTAATGTTTCGTTTAATATGTTCTGTTGGGAAAATCGTGAACAATTTATGCGTCTATTTTAAGTTGCTTTGAGGTAGATTGATCTGCCTATTTGTTTCTTTCTCTTTCTTTTTGATATTATTGTGACACTTTTTTCTGTGATCGTAAGTTAAATCTATGACTTACAAAAATATGAAATTTTCTTTCATTTTGTGTATCATTTTTTGTTTGTATAGTTGAGTGATTTTATACAAAAATATATATTGCACGATATTTATCAATTAATTACTGTTTTGGTCTGTTTATGCGCATACAGGTTTTTAAACTTAGGCGCTCATATATTATAGAGAAACTTTGTTTTTATTTCGTTAATGTACAGATATATATTATTTTTATATTGGTAAATTTGGTTTCTGCTGAATAAATGTGGTAGAGTTCAGGGCGTACTGTTCTCTCTCCAACAACAAGTTATCACGACGGACATGCGGTGGGGCACCTCGTACTCTCATCTAACACATTGTCGATGTAATTCTCTAGAAAAGCTAAGTATGAGCTTGCATTCAAACGTTGTAGCAATACGTGCATAAGCAGTTGGCCATTAAAAATGTGTCACCAGACATTTCTAGAAAATATGTGTTGAAATAAGTGGATTCTTACAGAACGAAGGTTTTCTAACGACCAAATATGTTTATTATGAGAATTAACGGTTCCACTCTCCGTTAAAAGCGATATCTGACCACAAAATCAAATCAATAAAATCTGCACTTTGATTATCCATTTACAGTAACCACTCACAAAAATTTCGACGATTCACTTAGTCGCCGGGTTGCAGACATTACACATTGTGCCAATGGCAGGGATATAAAACTCTCAGATATGAAATTTATAAAGTTTGGCAGTTTCGTATTGCCGAAGTCTTAGAAATGATCGCGTAGAAGCCTTTGGGGTAGGTTGACGTTGATACTCCCGAGACGCCATACACAAAAATCATATCGGCGTACTCATCATTGCTAAATTCTATTTCACAACAAGAAACGTCAAGTTGGTATCAAAGCCTCCTATTTTATTTTGAAACTAATTGTATCTCGGCTCTTCGTGAAAGATCTAATTTGGCTTATTTTTATTTTTACGAAAACAGTGAAGTCTAGGGAAAAACGCAAGAGTAATTATTTGTAGCAAACTGCAGAGATAATTCGAAAAATTGGGCTATTTTTATTTGGAAAAATAATGCCACTAATCTCTTGTATCTCCGCCACTGGTGCACGTTAGCTAAGTAAAGACTTTTGAAAGTTTACGTAATTTCAGTTGACGGTTTTGAAGATATTTAAGAAGATTGTTTTTTATTTTTAAACTTCAACACCCCGCATATTTTTAATGAAGCCCTCAAAATGCGGTCCTGTGTATTATGTTTCATTGTTGGTCACGACTTGCGAATCACCCTGTAATGAAAACGTGTTACGTTTCGACAGCAGGATCAAAACAGGTGTAACCGTCTCTATCAAAAACCATTTTTTTCCAGAACCTGTATCTTGGAGACGAAACTTTTCAGAATGAGCTCTCCGACTTAAATTTGGCTGTAGGTCTCGCTCCTGTAATTACGGCCTATATTTCAGTAACACCTTTCATGTCGACGAATCTGGAGTATTGTGAGGCCAATAAGTACTATCAGCCCAAACAATCACGCCGAATATCGACTGCTTTGTGCTATTTCAAAACGCGCAGCAGATATTAATTTTCGAAGATGTTCCGTATCTGCAATTTCACATAAGACGTTTCTGTCGAAGGGGGCATCACGTATCAGAGATCAAAAGCTGGAAGTGCATTTCGTACGTCGTTTGAAGCTGATGCAGCTGGCAAGGCGCTTGCTTTCAAAAGGCGATTAGATGTACGACTTACCTCGAGTCAGCAGACGCTGCAGCTGTTCAGGAATCCAGCAGGCAGGAAGTCTTTTCCGGGTTCGATTTATAGTCCTGCAAAAGAAAATAGGTGTTATTGAAGTATGCGTAGGATACGGTGTTCTAATGTGAATGCAATAAAGAGCTAATACTGGGGATAAATGATATAAATGGTGATATTAAAACATCGCCAGTATCGATCCAATTTGTCTTTAGATCTACTGCCATTATCAATACAAATTCTGTATTACAGCAAAACTTCGTCGCAACCCTCTCAACTGTTCAGATTTTCTTTTACTTAAATGTCTTTTTATTTATTGGTATAATCATATCTGTTTCTCTCGTTTAAAATTGGTAATACAAGTTACTGTGTAGGAGTTATTTATAAGCCTCCAAATGAAAACTTATCAAGTAAGTATGTGAGAATTCTTGGATAATCTACTACCACAACTCATAAGCGAATATGACAATATACTGGTGTTGGGTGATTTTAATATTAACATGCTTGTGGAAAATAAAATAAATTATTGTTTTGAAATATACTAAGTGACATATAAATCCGTACACCCAGTTTAAATGGTTTTATTTTAATAAAATTTTGTATAAGTACTAAATGAAGCATAATAAGTAAATGATAAAAATTTCAAAATGATTGCACTGCTTTAAAGCCCTTTGACCTTTTATAATATGTGGATGCACCCTGATGTGCTACGCATTCTCCAACGCGCCTAGGCATGCTTCTGATCAGGTGGTCAATGTCCTCCTGTGGTATCTCATTCCAGACAACCACCAACTCCTCTCGAAGTGCTTCTAGAGTCTGAGGAGGACGTTGCAAATTGAGCAATCTCCTACCCATCATATCCCACACGTGCTCAATTGGGGATAAGTCGGGAGATCTTGGTGGCCATGGTAACAATGTGACATCATTATGTTGAAAGAAGTCTATTGTGACTCTTGCAACATGTGGTCGGGCATTATCTTGTTGGAAAGTTGGATCTGCCAGGGTGTCAAGATAGGGTAAAAGATGGGGTTCTAGAACTTCGTGGATATAACGCTGCGCGTTCATGTTACCTCTGATGAAGATTAAAGGTGACCTGGAACCATAAGCTATAGCACCCCAAACCATAACTCCAACAGTGTGATGAACATGTCTTTCAACAAAAAACTGTGGATTCCTCCTTTCACCACGTCGCCTTCTAACCCTGGCACGACCATCGTGCATGCCTAAACAAAATCGAGACTCGTCACTAAAGACAATACTGTTCCATTCCTGATCCCAGAGTGACCGTTGTCTGCACCACTCAAGGCGATTACGTCGGTGTTCTCGAGTTAAAGGGAGGACCCAGTGTGGCCGGTATGAAAACAAGCCAAAACTTCTCATTCGTCGGTAAACACTTCGCATGCCAGTAGGTCTTCCGTGTTCTGCAAACCATTCATTTGCAATGGACCTGGTACTGGAGAAACGGTCCCTTAAGGCCAGTAATCTTAGGCGGCGATCTTCACGGTCTGTTGTTCTACGGCGGCGTTCAGTGCCCCTTGCTCTTTGCGTCCGGCCTTCTCGAAGCCATGCCTGACAATACCTAACCACAGTGTCTACACTTCTTTGCACTCTAACTGCAATTGCCCGAAAAGAAAGTTCAGCTTCCCGAAGTCCCACTATACGGCCCCTATCAAACTCACTAAGTTGACGAACTCGTACAGGTCTCCGTACTCTAGGCATCGTAACCGATCGTAAAGGATGTCAACAACCAAAATCCGCGTTAGTGAATTAAAAAAAGGCAGTATGAAAACCGGAATGTCCAACTGATAAGGCTGAAAATTTTTTCACTTGTTATTTACAGTAAGATAAATACATTCACCAACTTTTATTAAAATAAAACCATTTAAACTGGGTGTTCGGATTTATATGTCACTTAGTATATATGGAATGGCCCAAATTATAAGTGAACCGACTAGAATAACAGAGAGAACTTCTACATTATTAGATCCTATATTTATAAGTTCGTCTACTTCATATGTTTCTAGTAGTACAATGAATGCTGATAGCTTTAGTGACCATCAGATGGTATATTGTGATGTTAAATATTCAATCAAATGTGAACCAAAATTTGTAACATACAGAGACTTTAACAACATTAACTTAGAGGCATTTGATAATGACCTTTATCGGATAGACTGGGAAAGCATACTTTACTTCAGCGACATAGAAAGCAAAGTTGAGTTTTTGACATCAAACTTATTGTCACTTTTTGACTTGCACTGTCCTGAACGAACAGTACGAGTCACAAAGCCAAAAGCGCCTTGGCGTACTGCAAACGTACAAATGTTATTCAGGCAGCAGCGGTGGCCGCAGTAGTAGACTCTTCGGTCTCCTGATCAGTCGCCGTCCGCTGTGCGGGTTCGAGTCCCGTCCCAGGAGAAATTTTTCTCTTGGCTATGGATGTTGTGATTGTCTGTAGGTGGTAGACGGTCTCTGACTGTCGAACATGGAGGTACCACCCGGCGGATCTCGTAGGCGGAGCCAGAATGTGTGCATGTTGCATGCACACGTGCTCCCTCGCCAGAGTCCGTGTGGCGTCCCCCCTTTCCCTGTATCCCCCTATAGCCCCACGGTACCCAATGGGTGTTTAGGCCTTAGGCCTTCGTGGTAGTTGGAGCATAAAAAAAAAGGGAAAGGGGTGAAGCTCTCTCCAAACATAAAATGGATCCATCAGAAGAAAACTGGAACCGCTATAAAAGCCTCAGAAATTAGTGCTTGCTAGCATTACGCAAAGAAAAATCAGCCTATTTGGAACATCTACATGAAAATAAAAACTCTAAATCTCTTTACAAATCATTGAAACAAATGCACATACAAAGTAATAAAGAGCCTCCGAACATTCCGGTCCACCTTTCCAATCCATATAAAGTGAATGATTACCTCAATTTTTAAGAATAGTGATGAACAATGTATTGACAAAATAATTCATTAACGTAACAACAGACATAGTTTTGAGAGGTTTTCTTTCAATTTAATTGACTTGACAAGCTGAGCATCTGTAATCAGTCATATTGGTTCCAATGCATCTGGTAATGACAGAGTTACGTTGCGAATGTTAAAGTTATGCTATCCCGCTATAAATCTTTATTTGTTGCATATTACCAATCTATGCTTAGAGAGAGGCTATTTTCCAAGCGCGTGGAAAACAGCAATGGTAAAACCACTCGCTAAAACCTCGAATCCTTTGTCAGTTGACGACCTACGACCGATAAGTCTTTTGCCTCTTCTATCCAAAATACTGGAACGCGCAGCTTATATCCAGATTTACGAGTACTTAGACAAAAATAATATAAGTGTTCATCAATCGGGTTTTAAAAAAAATCATAGCACTACTACGGCTTTAGTGGACTTGATCGATGGCATAATTTCCGCGCTTGACAATAAAAACTTGTGTGCTCTTGTCCTTTTAGATTTCTCGAAGGCATTTGACACATTGAATCACAAACTGCCTGTAGCCAAATGTCATTACTATGGCTTTGATGATCTTGCTTGTAAGCTTATCAAGTCATATTTAAGTGATCGGTCGCAAGTGGCTGTGGTTGATGGTCAGATGTCTTTGCCAAATAAAGTTCAGTCCGGAGTACCTCAAGGCTCCGTATTAGCTCCATTGCTTTTTTTGTTATACACAGCGGATCTTCAAGATACTGTCAAGCACTGTCATGTGCAATTCTTTGCCGATGACACTCAGGTAAGGTATGATTTTCCAGCCTCACGCTACTCTGAAGCCCAAGACCAAATCAATGAAGATTTGTCAAGTATTAGCAGCTATTGCAAGTTACATAACCTCAAGCTCAACCCATCGAAGTGTAAAGCCTTGCTATTTGGTAACATCAAAATAAGAGAAAATCTTATAAGCAAAATTGACGTTCAAATCGAAGGGAAAATCATCCTTTATTCAGAATGTGCCAAAAATTTGGGCTTGCATTTAGATGAAGACCTGCGGTTTGAAAAACACTTACAGCACGTTTTGAGGCAATGTTACGGTTCGCTCCGGCTTCTATTTGCAAACAATTGCATCACTGGTAATCAATTGAAAAAACAGCTATGTGAAAGCTTGGTATTGTCTAAGATTTCGTATGGGCTAATAATTTATTATAAAAGACGTCTACAGATAATGCAAAATACTTATAGTAGGTACATAAATAATTTGAGGAAATTTGATCATGTATCGCATACGTATTCTGACCTCAATTGGTTAACTGTAGATAATCTATACAAATATTCTGTTATAAGTTCTGTGCATCGTATTTTACTATCCGCATCACCCCCATACCTGTTTGAAAGATTTATTACCAGATCCAGCACGCATAATATTAACACAAGGCATCAGGCTTTCTTTATACTGCCAGTCCACCGTACTGTTTTATATTCAAGAACCTTTATTTACAATGCCGTTAAATATTACAACAGTATTAATTTTCATTTTAAAAATATTGCGAATATTAAAACTTTTAAATTAAAATTGAAGTCCGATCTTCTCTCGCAAACATGAATTGCCAGTTATATTTTTTTTATTGGTTAATGATGGTTGATTTTAAAAAAACCCTTTGATCACAGTTTTGTTGGTTTAAAACAAACCGATTTAAATGTATGTGCCATAGTTAATGTCATCCATTTCTATGTAATTTCGTATAAATTATCAAAACGGGGTTAGGTGGAAGAATAGCTCACGCTAATCCTCGCCCCTCGTAATGTACTAAATGTTTAGTGCAATAAAGACCCTTTATTATTATTATTATTATATTAGACGAAAATCTTCCTGGTTTGCGAAATAATTATAAAGTCTGGTTTTATAGATGCAAGCTGTTCAAGGTCGTGTTCAAAACATGGACGCATAAAATGGGTATACACACATAATTTTTGTGAGAAAATTTTTTATTCGACAACAAAAAATGAGAAAACGTATTTTTTGGGATTCAATCGAAGGTGCTGACAGGAACGAAAAAACTTTTCATATAAGATTTTTAGGTGTTTATGAGACCTACAAAGTGAGACGTGAAAAGTTGTCGCCGAAAACCGAGGCAAACTGCAGGTTTAGGCACTTGTTGTGCGACGATGGTTTCTGGCACATATCTGATATTCTCCAATTTCGTGGGATTCTTACTTCTAAATAACCACGACAAAATTGGAGTAGATTGGTCAAGTAGTTTTTGAGAATTTCTAATTGTTTATCGCAAAACACCTGTTTTCCGGGCATCACAATAGACAGGGCTAGTTCAAAGGGCAAATTATAGCAAAATAATAATGTTATTTTTATGCAAAAAAGGATGGGTTGCTTCTAAAAATTTCGTATTTGTGAGTAATTTGCAACAAAAAATGATAGACATACCCGCTTTGTTTTAAAATGTGTATAGTATTGTATGTTTTTCGAATTTCTTAGCGGATTCGTCCAATTACTCACAAATATGAAATGTTTGAAAAACGTAAACTTTTTTTCGCACAAAGATAGCGTTTATCTTTCGGAATGGTTTGTGATTTATATCGGCAAGGTAAGTACGTGTGTTTTGCTATTAAATGCTTTTTAAACGAACCCTGTATATTACTCAATGAACTATGGCCCTTAAGCAGGTGTTTTGGGATAAGCAAATATAAATTCTCAAAAAACTGTTGACCAACATATTCCAATTTTGTTGTTGTTATTAATTTAGAAGTGTGAACCTTACAGATTTGAAGAATTTCCAGTAGTTGCTGGAAATTATCGTCTCGTCGCATTTCCAGTGCCAAAACCTGCATGTCGCCTCTTTTTTCGGCCATTACATTTTTGCTATCAGTCGGATCTTTTTACGTGTGGTCTCATTTTGTAGGTCTCATAAATACCTAAAAATTTTATATGTAAAGTCTTTCCGTTCCTGTCAACACTTTCGATTGACTCCCAAAGAATACGTTTTGTCATTCTTTGTTGTCAAATAAATTCCCACAAAAATTGGAGTACCTGTTTTATGCGTCCATATTTTAAATACCCTGTTGAACAACTTGCAATAATAAAACCAGGCTTAACAATTATTGTGCTAATATACATCGAAAACGGAACAAACGCATCTACTGGCAGCTCATTTTTTTTTTTTTGAAAAACGCTCAGACCCGTCGAATTTGTTTTCGAGGGGGACACAAGTTTGGCAAAAAATCACGTTAGCACGTGCAGCCCCCTAAGCGGGGTGACACCACCCCCAAAATCTTACATGGAAAGGGGGGGTCGATTGATACCTTACTTTAATAATATTCCCTTCATAATGGTATAAAATTAATGTACTGCCGTTCAGTAGTTTTGAAGATTTATTGATTTAAAGCTTAAATAAAACTAATACATCATCATTAGTGGAGATCAATACATTTGGCAGCAAAGTAATTTAAAAATGAAGAATAAACTGACTCGTTAGGCAAGTAAATGTTGAAAATGGCCACCATGAGTAACCATGCAATAATAAAGATTTTGCTCAAAACGTTGCCGCACATTTTGCAATATTTGAGGAGTAATTTGAAGGCACTCATTCATAATTCTTTGTCGCAGGTCTTCTGATGATATTGGCTGAGTAGCATAAATTTTGCTTTTTAAATGACCCCACATAAAGAAATCCAAAGGTGATAAATCTGGCGATCTTGGGGGCCATTCAATTGCACCTCTTCTACCAATCCATCGATCTGGAAACGTCTGATTTAAATATTGTCGAACACGTAATGCGTATTGTGGTGGGGCACAACATGCAACTACAAAAGTAGATACACATGCCCGCATATCCGGATACGGGTGTAACCTGAGGAAACGAACACATCAAGCCCACAACAAGATCCAACCTTCACATTGTAGTATAAACTGGCTAGAAGACCTCGAATTTTCAAGGAGACGTATAACCACAACCACGCGGCCGGTTATAGCCACTTTCTGTGGTACTTCAAGCCCAAAGGATCTACAAAGAGAAAATGATCATGCGGAGAAAGGTATATAACAAAAAGTAGGAAAATAATGGGCAAAATCCGCAAAAAGGAGGAAAGTGGATTCGAGCAGAAAATATGATAGGTAATCCGAGCGATACGTATTTCAACTGGATGGCTTCATCAGGCCCGAAATAAATGTACATATGAAACTACAAAGTAAGATACACATGCCCTCACATCCGGATACGGGTGTACCCTTAGGAAACGAAGATGGAGAGGGAAAAAACGACACACGAAGTCCACAACAAGAGCCAACCTACACATTGTAGTATAAAATGCCTAGAAGACCTCGAGTTTTCAAGGAGACAACAACACCTGTGTCAACATGCATAACATGCACTATCACGCGACGGAAAACCCTTACTGGGTTAGGCAAATAGATTTCCAAACTAAATGGAGCTTGAATGTTTGGGAAGGGGTTACTGGCAGACAAGTTATCGGACCTTTCTTTTTCGTCAACAGATTAACAGGTACAGAATACTTGCATTTTTTGATCGAGTACTTGCCTTTGTTTTTGGAGGATGTGAACCTGCAAACTCGGATGTATATGTACTTCCAATATGACCGCGCACCTGCGCATTATCATAATCGCGTACGTAAC